AGTGCAAAGCCCAGGCTGAGACAACATCCCCCTGCCCCAGCAGCAGGCAGCTCCCAGCAGGGCTCCGCAATCAGAGCAGGGGCTGGGAGATTACTCCCTGCTCCTGCGAGCTGCCTGCTGCTAGGGCTGGCTCCAAGCGCCGAGCCCAGGCTAGGACAATGTCCCCTAGACCTGGCAGCAGACAGCTTCCAGCCCTGGCTCTGCACTTGGAGCCTGCCCAGGAAGCAGGTAGATGTTGGGCACAGGGAGCAACGTTGAGCCCCCACTCTAATTGGGGAGTTGGAGCCAGAAGCTCCCTGTAGGAGGAGAGTTCCCTGCCCATCCCAGAAGTGGGTGGGACCTGCCCCAAAACAGGGCAGGTCCCAGCCAGCCCTGGGCTGCATGGGGAAGCCTCACTGGGCACAGGGCTTGTTCCCATGTGCACTGGACAGATGAGCTCTGCAGCATCTCTCCCACCCTGTGCATATTAGGACCCCTCCTAAGGTGAATGGGGCCAGGAGACAGCTGTCTCTTGGCCCTCTGCTCCCTGACAGCCTCTGGGCTAGCACCAAGGGGGAGCCTGGAAATCTCCCTGGCTGCTGCAGGAGGACAGAGTATTGTGAGAAAATCTTGTACCCATTGGCCACATCCATGCACGGTGTGGACGTTTGGTTCCCTGGGGACAACTAGAGGTGGTCACTAGTGCTGCCACCAGTTGTCCCCAGGGAATGCCTGTGCCATACACACTCTGGTGTGCAGCAAGTTACCCCAGAAGTGGTAGGAGAGGCTGGGGCCAGCACTGGGTTGGCCCCAGCAGCCTTACCTTGGGTCCTGGGGGCCTCTCACGGCAGCAGCCAAGTCGCTCCTGCCATGCGAAGCCTGGCTGGCAGCAGAGTGCAGTTCTGGCTTTGGGCAGTGCACACTGCCACCATGTGTGCCACTACACATTTTTTCAGCAGGTTTTTTTGACCCCTGGATATCTAGGGATCAAAAAAACCCACTCTGCTGCTGACTTGCAGCATGGACAGCAACTGAACGTGTGGTATGTGGCACCTCAGACGTGTCTGCAGCACCACATACCACACAGCCATGCTCACCTGGACACAGCCATTGGGAGCAAATCTCCCCTGGTAGGCTTACTGTGCAGTATTTTTACTGCACAGTAAGCCTACTTTGAATTAATAGCACATGTATATGCACCAACTGGGGAATAAGTTGGGCTTGCTACTAAAACTATTCTAATCAAGAACTCTGTTATACTGATGTGGTAGCCAGAATGGTTTTCTTTGCACAGTGCCAGTGGAAGTGAAGAAGAATAAAAGCACCTTTCTGCCACAGAAGCAAGTAGAAAGGACTCTAAAAATACACAGAAAGCAGAGCAAGAGAGAGAAAGAGCCATCTCACATCACCTGTTCTCAGGGCTGACCTGCATGTTAAGCATCACCTCAGAATGTTTTTGGTTAGCAAGACCTCACCTCAGAAAGGGACGATTTAAAAGAAACTCCTCAGGCTTGAGGTCAGAGTTCTTTATCTACCTTCAGCCTTTCCATGGCTGTCATGAGGGAGGATAGGATTTAGCCCTATAATGTTGCAATACAATATTTTCCTATGCTACAACAAGTAATCAGCTGAAGCAGAGCTGAAGCAGAGCCATGTCACACTATGATGTGGAAGAAAAAGGATTTTCTTAGAAAAAAAAAAATTACCTAAAAATGATAAAAAGACTCCTAGAGAAAACTGTGAAAAAGCTAAGGCTACTACCAACAACGGAGACAGGAAAAAAAGGAAAAAACCTTATCTTAAAAAAATTGACAATGACCCCTCAATTATTTGTATTTTACTTTAGCAGTAATGAATATACATGTTCTCATCTCCAACAACACTTACAGCCTTTAATGGAAGTTGTTGTTTTTTTTTTAATTATAATAAATCTCAAAATGGTTGGAAAAAAGCAACTAGGCAGTGAAGATAAGCTCAGTTTTAACCTTCTATCCAATTCCCTTGTCTGACTTGCTTTAAAAAACTTTGAAGAAAAATGTTAAGCTGGAATAAGAGCTTTACTTGGTTTTGGTAAAGATAGAAAACTATTTCAATTACTGGCCTACCATAAAGGCAGATTTAACCTTACTTAGAATCAACTCATCTATTATTTTGCAAAACCATAATTGCTGGTCTCACCCACAGTTACAAGTTGTGACTGTTGGTGGGCTGAATACTCTTCTGCAGCAGCTGTTCATATGCAGTGAACACATTTTGAGCTGTATTGGAAATGATAACCTCCAAAACTAGAGGTCATTCAAACATATTCAAGGGAAAGACAGAACATACTTGCAAAGAATTCCTGTATTCCACGAGAACGACACATGCATAAAAGATGATCAGGCCCTCAGGGAATCAGATATATACCTTGACCATGGTATGATTCATTGAATAATAAAACTTTTTCTGACCTAGTGCTTCTCATAATCTCTGTAAATGGGTAGCTAATTATAATGTTCTAGCTGTGCAGTTTTATATCCTTCCTTCCTAGTGTGTTTATTGGGAAAAAGAAGCAACACCTTCAAGTCTTGAAAAACAAACAAACAAACAAACAAACAAACAAACAAACAATCCCACCACTTTCTTTGAACTCTTGTATGGCAACATGCAGTTTGCCATATGAGATCAAACAACTGGCCAATTAATGTTGGTATCTTCACAAGGGCCACGACTAAATGGGTAGTAATGTGCATGAAGGAAAGAATCCTTCCAGACTCTTACTCCTTATACTTATGCTCGCAAGCATGGGCAGATTTAGGATTCTGAAAAAGAGGGGTGCACAGCCCCTCACAACACATATTTCTCCAGTTAAAAAGTAATTAGATGCTTTACTAATAAAGCCAGGGGCCCAGGGCTATATTACTACATTTAAAATTTAAGCAAAACCAAATACATTTACTGGAATGTACATTAATTTGCTATTATATATAAAAACAACCAACAAGGGGAAAAACCCCCAAAAGATGCTGTTTCTTCAGTCCTGTGATCAGTAGAGTTAAAGGTACATCTCTTTTTCAGATTCACAAAACAAAAAGCTAGCTTTGTGCATCTTGGCAGTGTAGCAGAAAGCCCCTTTTTCCTCTTGCCTGCATTTACTCTCCCCTCTTTGGATATGTTTCTCTTTTTCTACCTTTTCTTCCTTCCTCTCTCTCTCACTTTAAGATAAGGAATTGTGTTTTAAACTTTGTATGTGTGCATTTTGTATCTCCCCTTGTAGTTTGGTATTTTTATCTATTTGTGTGCCATGGCATTTGTAGCTTATATTTTATACTCCTCACCTTTCATCTTCCAACTGAATGTATTTAGTTTCATAAGTAAGTTATACATTGTAACAATGTTAACAAGGGCAGGAATCAAACTGCCCTTCCCTGTATCAGGCTGGCCCCTGAAAGAGCAAGTGAATCAGTGATTGAATGTGTAACATGGTAGCAGACAGTAATTAACACCTGGGAAACTGCAGATCAACCAACAGAAGAATTCACCCTGCACTTACATGCAGACGCCCCCTGGGGCTGACAGATGCCGTCCAGTAGCCACCGAGGTGGGGAAGTCCCACGAGGGTCAATGACCCCTGGATTAGGCAAACCTGAAAACTGGGGAGTCACCAAAGTCTGCCAAGGACAGATAAAAGGCAGTGAAAAGTGACCCTCAGTGGCGCCTGCTTGATCTCCAACTCGACCAGACCTGTCAAGCCAGAAGGACCAGCTGGTGACCCCCTTCCGGAGGGTAACACCATGCTGAAAGAAGCCTCGACTGGCCATCGATGACAGACTCCAGCGCTCGTAGGATAGGTATACCTGACTCTGTAGCTTGCTACTGTGTGTGTGTGTATGTGTGTGCATGTGTGTGTGTGTGTGGGGACCAGCCCCAAAGTTTATGATTTAACTCATTACAGTGTTTCAATCCACCTAATAAACTAGAATTTTAAGGATCCTGAGTTGGACATTTGTAGCCAACAGCAGTGCATCCAATACTTCACTGAAAGTTATTTTCACACCCAAGTTAATACTTTAGCTAGAGTTAAAAACAGTTTACAATGCTGTTAAATTGGAGTTATATTACCTGAAGCAGGTAACAGACAGCAGAATTGCACAAGAAAGGATAGCCTAATTAATGGAACATCAAGACTATTAAAAGGAGGAAGGGTTCCCTGCTGTCCTGGATTTACCCCTGCTCTCAAGCATGAGATTTGAATGCTTCCATCTTACCTGGAAGTACTACAAGTGTTAGTAGCAGCCCTAAATTCTTCAATTCGATCTTTTTTGATATGGAATTTCATGCCGCAATTGTATTTTGTGAAGCGATTATTTCTTATTGTTTAAAAATCACATCTTATTAATGAAATCAAATAGCCTTACTTAATCATTCCAACTACTTATGGAGCAATATCTAAAACAGAAATAAAACAGTAGATTGCATAACTCTGTATCTTCATTGCCCAAATGCTAAGAAGATTCCATTTTAGTTTGTTAAACAATTGTATTTATTATGATAAGGTATACAACAGTAGTTTTTGTCTCTAATTTGTCTTTACCTACTAGAAACTTCCTGTTTCTATTAAATGGAGACTTTCATCTTAAATTTGTCCCCAAGTTCAAATTTTGTAAAAGCATTTTTTATAAAATAAAAGCAAAACAAAAACAAACAGAAACCCGAAGTGAAATGTTTCCACAAATAAAAATAGAATTCCACGGAAAATGCTTGTGGAAAATAGAATAAGCACCTCCTTACGCTGTTTAATAACCAGGATTAATGTGCTGAAACCCTGAAATAATCCTCCATAACTTTCCTTTTTAAGGACTCTTAAACGAAAATATCAAACAAACAAAAGACAGTGATGGGAAAAAAGGATTTTAAAATAAATTTCACTTTTAATAATATTAGGTGCTTCAGTGTCCCAATGCCAAGTCCAAATAAATGCCTTTTTCATTTACTGGCTACAATTTTCAAGTTAATTTATGAAAGACCTTAGTTGTCCTTACCTCAATAATATACAAGACCACATTCTTGTAGAAGCAATACAATATGCACTTGGTCACTCGATTATAACTCCAGGCTCCATGGACTAATAATAGCTTCTCCAAGTAGGAAAACTAGAGGGAAAAAATGGACATTAATGATATAGCCTCATGTTGGGTAACTCTCTATAGAAAGTAAATGACACTTAAAACAACTGTTAGAGCACTCTTTGAGAGTAATTTTACATGGAGTAGTACAAACCAAACACTTACAAAATTATATAAGAAAACCCTTTAAACTTGTTCAAATGAGTCCTTGCTTGCTTTAAGTAGCAAAAAGCTTTCAATTATTCTTATTCTGATAGCAAAATGAAGATAGGTTAACATAATAAAACCCACTGGATTAAATATAACTCTGAACTCTTCATTTCATGGCCAAAGAAGATTACTGTGTTTGAGGGGCTAATAAGTACATGATACAACACTCTTCTCTGCATCTTAAAACCAGCAATCTGCTAATTAGAAATGTTCTGGGCAAAAATGGAATCTCAAAAGATGATAGAGGCTAAATGAAACTAAACGAATACTAACAGCTTTTGAAACAAGATGGAAACAAACATTTTGTTAACATTTACAGTCTACAAGATCATATAAAAGGATTAAGAGAAATGTAGCCACAATACATGTGGCAAGAAAAATAGTTTTTGTTTTATTTTACTCGGTCTGACCATTTTTGGTGGGTTTCCATCTTTGTTTTCATCCTATAACCTCAAGAAGCAATTGAATAATTGGTGATGGAAACTGGACTGAACCACTGATATGGCTCGACTTCAATGGGGGTAGGGTCAGGCCCACCGTGGAGGCAGGAAAAGTGCAAGTTTCTAACCATAACTCATAAAGGCCACATTCCTTGCTGGCTGCCTACAGGCCTCTTATGATCAGGGACCAAATTTCATATTTGTTATAGTGTTTTCATCAGAATTGAAAGGAAGCCTGGCACCATATTTCCATGTGGCACCTAAAAAGCCTGGTATTCAAAATCCAGATTCCAGGTCAAAGTTATTATTTATCTAACGCTAATTTGAAACTGAGATTTTTTTTTTGTTTTAAATAAATTAAACACAGCATGAAATAGCCTCTCTCCCAAGAGTTTCTGAATGTAGCATCTTTGATCAAGCTACAAATACTGCAAGAAACTCCCTGACACCACTCTAGCAACCCTGACTTTTAATTCTTGCTTGGCAGAGGCATGCTGGAATGAAAAAGAAATGAAAAAATGAATCTAACCCATCATAACTTAGTTTGGGTTCATTATCTACCCAGTTGGCATCAGATAACCAGAAGGGAGTGACTAATAATTGCACTTATCCATTTGCCTCCTTCCAACTCGCTCTTTGCTGTTCAGTGTTCTCCTCTCACTATCATCGCTGACTGCCTGTCCTATGGGCAGGGGGCTGGACCTGATGATCTTGTGACGGCCCTTCTAGCCCTTATGCCTATGAAATCTACTACAAAGATGTTCATAGGGTCAGTGAGTCCTCAAGAAACAGAAAATGTGCTACCCAGTAGAGTAGGGAAGACAAAGTCACTAGGAGACAGCAAGATTTTCATCCAGTAAATTCATATACAAGTAGCCCCATGGAATTGTGACAGTGAGTTTAATGAAACAGAGCGGTGCCATAGTGTAACGGAGCTCAATAGAGCTCCTTATGTGATTAAGTGCCTGCAGAAAAGGGACCTAATAATAAATGAGGTACAGAACATGCTTGGATGCCAGAATATTTAAGAACGTTAAAGCTAAAAGGAACCATTATGGTCATTGAATGTGGCCTTCTGCTTAACACCATTCATATAACCTCATCCAGTAATTTGTGCAGCAAGTCCACAACTTCCATGTGAGCTACAGCATATAATTTAGAAAGATATCCTTTCTTAATCAAAAGAGGAAAGTATGTGCTCCAAATATGTAAAAGCTTTTAATGTATTAGTACTTGTTATATTAGTAAAATACAACCAAGGAAATGTATGAAAAATAACATCTAAAATCCAAACCATCTTTTTCCAGGAATGAAACTGGAACATGAACCTGACATATTTTAAAAAGAATTTTCATAGCAAAACTCTATTCATCCAGCATCTAATCAGAATAGAAAAAAGCACAGCCCCCAGACATGCCAAGTTAATCGCTTATACCATACCATAGTGTATAAATATAATATCTGGTTTTTTTCCAGTAGAAAGCTTGTTTATTTTAGAAATATACAGGACCCTCAATATTTTGGTTAAGGATTCTATGAACATAGATCATTTGACAAAGTTTCAAGTAGAAAAGATTATTCAAATAGATGTCTCTATGCCTGAGGAAGTTACCCTTTGGAGCACTGGTTCAAAAGTAGGCTTCCATTTATGTGCTTAGTTTATGCTTTGATTTATTATATAATCCTTAATGAGCTTTTATATGAGCTTCATTTTTTCATATGTGTCTACTTCTGGCATCAATGGATTGGATGCATCATTTGCATATAAGATGTTATACATCAGGGATCAGTAACTTTTCAAGGTCACAGGCAAGAAAGGCCCAGTCAGAGATAGCTGGGTGCTATGACCCAGCTGCCACTGCTGCTTTTTCTCTGCAGCAGCACAGGGAGAGTGTCTGCCATTGCTACTTTTTCCCGTAGCAGTACAGGTGCTGCTGAATGCCATCAAAGCCCCATGCCTGCAGGCCAGATCAAATAGCTCTGTGGGCCACACCTGTCCTGAGCACCATGGAGTGCTGACCCCTGCTATATACACTGGGCTTCTTAAAAGATGTTCATAAGAACATATTCTACTTTCAAGGGATGCAGATAACTCCTACTCATCTGTTGCTAAATATTCTGTAATAAAGGAAAAATATATTCCATGAAGCTCAAAATTTCCCTCTGAAAACATTTTAGCATTATTTTAGTTCAGTGGCGCTCAAGCAGGGTGCCACAAGACACTTTCAGTGGTGCCATGACATGGATACCTGCCACCACAGCCCAATGAAAGTGCCCCACAGGTCTTGCATGGAGCCTGCATTAGGTTTATGTGATAAATCTAAGATAGACAGGAGTATCCACTCTTGCTGGGATTAGTTCCTAATCTGGTTTTGCACCAGGTGTGTGGGACAGTTTTACCTGGTGGTGGTGGTGGCGTCATCACCCTGGTTGAGAATCACTGAGGTAAGCTGAGACTATACAGCAGTGGTTCTCAACTGGGGTGTTGGTAAATTCAGGGTGCCCTGAATTTAAGAAGAGTGAGCACCACTGCTTTCGTCTGGTAGTTGCCTTATGGTAAATAACATTCCATCTTATCTTTACTAACCAGCTCAAGAGTGTAAAATATGACTCACTAACACAGTACCTTTCAGATACTAAAAAAACATGATATTGCATCTTTCCTGAGAAAGTACAGTTCCAAGTCAGTTTCCCCTGCCCCAGATTAAAACTCCACACTATTGAGGTCAAAATCCTTTTTTTAATAAAAAAAAAATTTTAAAACTCTAACGTCATCTCTATTGATATTGTCAATATTCCCCACGCTGGAATTTAAACCAAGCACAGTCCATTTCCAGCATTTTTATATCAACTCCAAAGCCACATTATTTTTTTAACTTGAAAGTGACACATGAATGTCAAATTACTTCATCAGGTTTAATGTTATTACAATAAATACCAAAGGAGTTAAATGTGAAAGGCCATCTATAGGCAAAGCTCTGACTACTTAGTCATTTATATTTTCATTTGAATAAATAAGCTTAATCTAATGAAGTCTCCCAAAGTAAGGATTTTTAATGACTAATGAACTGGTTGCAATACATAATGCATGGCAGTTAATTAAAATACAGGAAAGTATGTAACCATTATAAATAAGGCAGTTAAAATTGCCCTGGTATATTTGTTTTTTTGCCTGGTATTGCGTATCGGTGGTTATCATCTATTACAAATCAAATCTATGATGGGATTTTTAACTTGCAATTTTAAAAGTGAATTGTAATGTTCATGAAAGATTTGGGTCCAAGCTTGCAATCTCTCTCATCACAGCACATCCCCCTAAACATGGGTAGCAAGCAGCAGTATAGGTTTTCACATCCTCATATCAATAAATCTCACCCATGTTTTCGAATAACTGACTCTAAGAATAATAGGGGAGATGTATGTTTCTTGGCTTCTAAGAAACTTCCAAGAAGAGCGCCAATTAGTATCAATTGCAATAGCTGATTTCATGGTGAATTTATCTGATTGTTGCCTACATGCTAATTGATTTCTTACAGACTTGAATAACTTTAAATTACTTTTCTGCTCCAGATTTGAGCCTATTACCATGGTGCACTTTTACTAACTTTCTGAACTATATAAATAGTGACTATTTTCACAGTATCACTGATAACTGAAAATATAAGGTACCACAGCTATAAACAAATAACATTCAGAGTAGATGTAGAGCAACTAAAACAGGGGTGGGCAAAATATGGCCTGCAGGCCAGATCCAGCCCACCAATTAATTGGATCCAGCCTGAAACTGCCCTGCAGCACTTCACATGGGGCCGAGCCTAGCCCAGGGCAGCTTGCACCACACTCCAGCCTGCACCTGCTGGCCTAGCCCCAGCCCCAGCCAACGCACACAGGTTCCAGTGCGACTGTTCCCAGTGTGGCTGCAGCTACTTGGGTGCTGTTCCGCTTCCCCTCACCTCCAGCAGCAACTCCTTCTGCTGCTCCGCTCCTGGCCTGGAAGAAGCTTCAGCCAGGCAACTCCTGTCCTAGTGTGCGGGGGGCTCTGGCTCCAGCTCCCAGCTGCCTTCCACCCACTCAGCCCACCCTGCGCAGGCAGGTGGGGTGGGTGGAAGGCAGCTGGGAGCTGGAGCCAGAGTCCTGGGTGCTGGGGCAGGAGTCACCTGGCTGAAGCTTTCTCCTGGCCAGAAGTGGTGCAGCAGAAACAAGAGGAGCTGCTGGCAGCTGGGGGAGTGGAGCAGCACCCAGGCAACTGCAGCTGCACCAGGAGCAGCCCTGCCAAAGGCTATGCATGCTGGCTGGGGCTGGGGCCAGGGCCAGGCCAGTAAGTGCAGACTGGAGCATAGCATGGGTTGCCCCAGGCAGAAGCAGCTGGGGCTCAGCTCCTCAAGCACCACGGGGGCAATAATGCACAGCATGGGTGAACTTGGCTGAACATGCCTCTGCCCCCTGCTCCACCCTCTCACCCCTGGCCAGCTCCCGAGACCTAGCTCCCAGGCAGCCCCAACACACACATGCACACTCCCACAGGACAGGGGCTACCCTGCCCTGTGATCCTGGCTTCTCCCACCTGTCTTGCTCCTGAACACCAGTGCCTGCCCGCCCACATAGGGAGTTTTGGTGAGTTGTTGTGGTGGAGGGTGTTGACCTGGCCCATAACAATTCATCAAAACTCCCTATGTGGCCCCTGGACCCAAATAATTTCCCACCCCTGAGCTAAAGCTTCTCTTTTCTTTCTCCTGATACTTTTAATGCCTTTAATATTATATTTTGATTTAGTCAATGAAAGGAAGAGATGGCCACAGCTTTTCCCACTATGATTTCTGAATAAAGTGATCAACAGGGATCCTGTTTTTTTCTGATAAAAAAAAAAATCTTAAATTTTCAGGTTAAAAAAATAACCCAAATCCACATTTTTCTGTGATCAAAATGAAACACTACTATATTATTGGTATTTCATTTTAATCATGGAAAAATGTGGATTTTGGAGTACTTTTTTTTAACTCGAAAACTGGGGATTTTTTTAAATCACAGAAAACTAGGATCCCTGGTGATCAATACTGAATATCACAGGATGAGCCAGAAGTGATATTTCCAGTCACTGTACCTTGTCCAAGTTAAGGTTTTTGAATTACTGCTAAATACTAACTGCTGTTTTAATACTTTAGGCTGCTTTTAGAGATTAAAAAAGGCACTTTAAACTCGGCATGTTCCTGTGCCAAGCCCAGCACATGCCCAGAAGAGGCAGCACATTAGTTGGACTGTGCCAATTGAATCAGCTATTAGATAAAAGCACCAAAAAGCCCTGCTGAAGCACCAGATCTATACATAGGCTGTGGAGCTGGGTCAGGCTAACACACTGCTGCTTTCGGTAAAGCATGTTTTCTTTTGTTTTTTGTTTTTTTTAAACATCTGCAAGAACCTTAGTGACTGATCCTTTAGTATTTTTAAAAAAATGAGGTAAACATAACTATTACAACATCTATGGGGATAAACTGTTATCAGGAATAGACTTCATCAACAGGTGTCACACACAAGCACATGCATTGGGAAGATAATTTATAATTAGAAGGGTTTTAATGCAACTGTCATGAGTGGTGCCTCTCCCTGATTACTGAATGGTATGAACAGTCCACAGCTGGCGAGAAGAAATATAAGCCTTTCAGAGGCGATAGAACTTTGCCCCAAAGGGTCCAGCAAGACCAGAACTAAAATGACCCCAAATACATTTCAAGTATCAATTTTAGATGTCAGCCTCAGAGAGGATATAAACAAAGATACGCTTGGCTTGAAGGCCAGCAACAAAGTGCTTATGCTGCCACACAGCTGATACCTCTGTCAACAGGACATGGCAGCTGCTCTTTAGTGCCTCTGACCTGTGCTATGGCGTAATCGGAGGAGTTGGTTGCCTGCATGCCCTCATTCCCACTGATCCCGACACCCACGTGTGCAGTCTGGATCATTCCCACGTCGTTGGCACCATCCCCAATGGCTAGTGTGATAGCATTTACATGTTTCTTTACCATGTCTACTATTTCAGACTTCTGCAGAGGAGACACTCTAGGAAAGAGAAGAGAAAAATGTCAGTAAGTTTCCCACATGCTGAGTTATGTACGCCTTTCCAACAGGACAGCTGTAAACTAGATTTAGATAGATTTAAAAAGACAGTTACAGATAAGCTTCCGAATTCAACACTTAGCTTTAGAACATGTGCCAGATCTTTTTCAAAAAGAAAAAATAGAATTTTTAAATATTTTTTAATTTTTAAATATTATACTGCCTAAATAAAGATCATAAACAGAAACATCAGATACATTGGAAGGGTTTACAGATTTTTTTTCTTTTAATACATTTAATGCATACAAATCTAGTTGCTTACAAGAGACAAAATCCATAGATAGTGAAGTCCTCTCTAACTATGCCATATGCAGCAGCTGTACAAGCTTCCCCACCCTTCCCCAATAATACACCTCAGTCCAGAACTAGAAAGGTTACAATTAGGCTAGGATGAGAATTCAGACTCTATACATATTCACTATTTAGTCTTTCTTCAGAGATTTGAAATGACAGTTAATTAGTGCAAATTATGCGCAGGGCTTTTGTAAGGGGTACAAAGGACAGACTTAGCAGAATAAGCAACTAACTGGAAGAAGTAAGAAAATATACACAAACTTTCCTTCTTTCCAGTCTGTCTTTCCAGTCTCCCTATGGGTTGGTTTTCCTGTTGCAACCCTACCTTACCACCCATCTGTCAGTAACACCATGCTAACATTAGTTACAGCTATTTTATTTCATGTCACTTATGTCAACTTTTGTGTCACCTCAAATTTTGGCCCAATATGTTAATATTCAAAGCCAAAAGTCCATCTGTAACTCCTATACCAGTACACTGGAAAAGTGTAGACCATTAGTTCCTTTAGACAAAATATATGACTGTGGAGGAGAGAGACCCAATGCCCTAACTGATCTACATGTGAAATAGTCATAGATTGTTATGGGATTTGTGGACATGGGGTAGCTAAACTATCAGACTCAAAGTGATGAATAAGGACTTCTCTCTCACACATTTCTCCCAGGCATGCATTGGAGTTATTCTGCTTTTACATCAGCATAACAGAATACAAAAGGATATAGGGCTTTATAAAATATTTGTTTTTGTGTGTATCCTGGTGCCTGCAACTGACCAGCTACACATGCAAAGCAGCTATCACATGATAAAAAGCTCCAACCAACTATAAAGTTAAACCTTGAAAATGTATACTAAATTTATAGCTGGTTGCTATAGAGCTTTAATTTGTACATGTAGCAGGATCTCTCTTGTGGCTGCGAGCCCCATCAGCTGACCAGGCACTAGGTACACTGTGCGTAGTGTGAAACACCCAAGACCCGAGGATCCCCAAGGCTCAGGGCTGTGTGAAACCCCCATCCCACATCGGGCTCTTAGTCCCAGCTGCACCACACGCAGCCAGGCCGGAGAGTCCTGTAACTGACGGAGCTCTCAGTCCTGGCTGCACCTCACTCCCCATCAGTTGCAGGACTCTCGGTCCTAGCTTTGTATGAGGCACAGCTCGGACTGGGAGCCCCGTCAGTTGCAGGATTCTCAGTCCTGGCTGAGCACGTGGTGCAGCTGGGACTGAGCTATAGCCCTGCATGGGCTATAGATAGACAAGGTTCTTTGGGTAGAGGTGATATCTTTTATTAAACCAACTACTGTAAATAGTTGGAAACATTGCTCTGTGCAAGTTTTTGGGCACAAAGCTCGCAAAGAATAATTTCCCCAACTATTTAGTTGGTCTAATAAAAGGTATCACCTCTACCCAAAGAACCTTGTTTGCCTAATTGGGGAAAAAGAATATACAACTTCTGGCCAGGACATGATCCATAGCAACGCTATGGGTCAGACTATAGGACAGGAAATCTCTTTTTTGTTTCTGAAATAAAGGGACTGTGTTTGTATATCCACACGTTAATGAAAATGCTTGGAAGGAGCCTGCAGCTGTCCTATTACAAAAAGTCAAAATCAGAGGAGAGTTGACTAGGTCCATAACATCTATCTATTATCAGTGTATTTGTGTTTGAAATGTTTTCTTGGATAGATGTGGACAGAAACGAAAAACAATATTTTACACTCCAGAGGTTCAGCTATACTGAAAATGGAAAATATAGACTATACTACACTCCTACCATGTAAACAAGACATTAGAGTATTATTAACTGTAGATCAATTTTGAATCTAAACTGATTCAAATTCTTAAAGACACAGATATTAAAGACATCAATATAGAGGATATAGCTATACAGAAACACGTTCACAGCAAAAAATACTCAAGAGAACATGGTATTTCTTGATTCCTTTTTGCAATCTGTAAAATAACTCAAAACAGAATCCAACCTAAAATAGGGAGGTGGAGGTGGGGAGAGAAAGACGTCAACATGTAGAACATTAGTTACATGTCTCAGGTGCACTGGAGGTAACAGATTAGGTAAGTGCCTTTAGTCATATGAGTTGTGCGATTTTATCTTTGTAACGGTACAATCCCCTTTCCGTTTATTTATAAAATCGTTCTTGTTTGTTACATTTTTAAACAGAAAAATGAACAAGATTTTTAAAAATTAATCTGTTATTGCATCAAAGTGCTGAAAAATAAACAAAAAGGATAAATCAATTTCTAAATACATGTCAATTAAAAGCGCTCGAGGAATAAAAGATTACCGTATTTATTCAAATATAAGATGAGGTCTCCTCACCTTCCCCCAGCTTCAACATGGGGAAAAAGAGCTCCTCATCTTACAACAGCGTACAAGGAAACCACATTAAATACATTGTCCATCATTAAATTGCTGCCTAAAGCAGCACATGCTCAATAATAGATATCAACTATGAAGTTGATTAAAATGCAGCCAACACTGTGTGACTAAAACACACGGCCCATAATGGGCAAACATACTGATAGGAGCCTGCCACAAGGATAGGCTGGTATAGCGTATCTGATATATGATAGTGCTCACTGCATTCAGTACCCCTCAGCACCAACTTTTTCAAGTCATGGGGGGACACTACAATTAATACACTTTGACTTCCTCTTCACTCCCACACAGAAACTGCACCTTTATTTCCAATTATTCCTGTTTCTTTATCAGCCTTAAGTATCTAGCAAACAACACTAAATGGGTCCCTAAACAGTTCATCCAGAATGTCTCTGTCGTCCCCTCTCTCAGCCTGTCACATACCATTAATGTGGCCCTGCCCTCCATGAGGTGGAACTGGACCAAACTGCCATATGTCTCAGTTGCATATGCATTTTTGGAGGACCCCAGACCTCATGACAGGGACACCTTGTTCCAGCCATGAGTGAGGGCTAGTTAGCACATGGATCCTTTGTAGGCAGTATCTGGACATACTGCCTGATCACATACTGAACAGTGCTAGGCTATAGTGTCACTATGGCTTTAAACGCTGTTGACTCCACTAAGGCTTAGCCCAATTAACTATATGGTAAATCATAAGCCTTTTTGGTTTTGGACTAATATTATGCATAGTTTTACTCTACATAAGAAGGTACAAAAGGGTTGGTTACAAGTATGCTTGTGCAATACTAGAGGTACACCGATACTTTGGTCTAATAATCGGATCAGCACTGATATAAAGAAAATTGACTATACTGAAAGTCAGCTTGATGTGGCCAATAAATGCCCTGTGCATATGCGCAGCAACAGAGCAGCACGTAGGTGGTAAGGAGCACAGCTCAGCAGCATGGAAAGCTGCATCCAGCTGGTAAGCCTGTTGTGGTGGAAGGGGACGGAGCATGGAAGGGTGTAGGGAGGCAAGTCAAGGCCCGTGTGGTGAAGAAGGGAGTGGGGCTGGGGTAGATGCTGCCCAGCCGGGGCAGGACAGGGCAGGGCGGGGCACAGGATGGAGCTGCAGCTCGTATGGGAGGCACACGGGGCAGGGGTGGCTCCCTCCACTGCATGCACCCTGTGAGGGTGCCCCTCAGATCTGCGCAAGGTGAAGCTGGCTGAAGCTGCGGGCTGGGGCCAGGGTAGCACCAGAATTTTCCCAGCAAGGGCTGGGCCAGGCAGCGGCACTGGGAGGGGGAGGGTTGGGGAGGCTATGGCAAATTTGGGGGTGGCTACAGCCTCCTCACATAGCCCCCTCCCAGTGCCACTGCTGCCCACCCTAGTCCCCACCAGGAAGAGCCCAGTGCCATCCCAGCCCACCTTGCCCCATGCAGATTTTGAGGGGGACACATGCCCCCTGTGCCCTGCTGGGGTGCACACAGTGGAAGGAGCCGCCCCCACCCTGCATCCCCTGGACAAGTCACAGCTCCATCCCACGTCCCGCCCCACCTGGCAACACCTGCCCTAGCCCCAGCCCCACTCCCTCCCTCACCCCCCACGCTCCTTCCCTTCCACCACAACAGACTTACCAGCCAGACACTGCTCTTCAAGCTGCCGGGCTGCATATTGGAAATTGGATCAGTATCAGCCGATATGCCTCCTTAAAAATGGGCTATCGGCATCAGCCCCAAAAAATCTCTATTGGTGCACCCCTATGGAATACCTGTACTATAACTTGCAGCAGTTAAAAAAATTTTAAAAAAAAGAAAGAAAAGAGAAAATGCATCAATTCTTTCCCCGGTGCTTTTATCTATCCTGCTTCATTTTTGTGGCAATAATGTAGACACATCCTAAGATTCTCTCAGGTCTCCTCCTACAATCCCTATTACATGTTCTTTATGTGTCAGTGTAAGTCACTCAGGGGCTAAGAACTATAGTAGTATGGAGTGGTTTTTTTCTTTAAAAAATTATTTCTAGTTGTAGTAGCAGTTTCTGTGTCACATCAAAGCAAGACAAATAGTAAAGCTATATGACAGCCAAGCCCCAAAAATATGACCAAATTTGCAGTATTGTATTATTAGGCAAGTAACGTGTAATTACATGTAAAAGCTATATTGATGCAATTTAAATTTCTCAGTTAATTTATGGGAAATCTGGAGAGGACTATCTTGTTGAACACAAAATCCAAGATTACTTGGACAAATTAAACTTTTTACAGCACAAAACAAAGGGTTGGGTTCTCTTAATTTTGGTTAACTGCTTTAAAGTTGCTGTAACTGACATTTAGCTGTCCATGACAAAAGCACTATAGCTACTCCTCACTTAACAACGTAGTTGCATTCTTGAAAAATGTGACTTTAAGCAAAACGATGTCAAGCAAATCCAATTACATCACAGTAGTTACCTACTAGCGGGCGGTGGCCAAACAACGTTATAACTGAACATTGCACGACTTTAAATGAGTATGTTCTCTAGTACATCAGTGACATAATAACAAAGCAATGTTAACTGGGACAACATTAAGTAAGGAGTACCTGTATTTTTTATTTCCACTGGCAATGCCTTCTGTTCTTCCAACTACACACGCTGAGCTAGGATCAAGAAGTTGTCCTATAATTCTAGAGTTGACACACTGTACTAATGCATTATGGCTGTTTTTAACTTGGGCCAACAGAAATATTCACAGAAGTAAAAGTAAGCACTGGCAAAGATGTTGCAGGTTTGAGAGTTAGTTTACCCTCTACTGTTTTTGCATGCAATTAGGTGGTACTTCTCAATCCATAAAATATCATATAATACAAGCTGTAATTTCTTATGAAGCCTTACATAATACATACGTATCTGCTGTTCTGACATTCTACTATTTTGGGAAGATTTTCAAATAAGAATTAGTGCCCAAAATCAAAACACTTTCTTTTTCCTAATCATGTATCACCTGCCAGTGCCAATAAAATTATATAATGATATCCTTAATAAAAGAGATCTACAAAAGATACCAAAAGATTATATGCATACTTAAATTATGCAACCCCTCATTACTCAAACAAAATTTTAAAATGTACGCAAGACTTTAATAAGAACTTACTTATTTATTTATCTATTTATGCAATTCTGGAGTTGAATTAAAGTCAATAATAAATGCTTTCTATGCACTTTTTTTTTTCTAATAAATACATTCCCAGACTTCCAAGGATATTTTTTCTATGCACAGTATATGAGCTGTAAAACTTGGAGCTTGATATTGTCACTGATTTCCTGAGGGGCTTTGTATTTTTTCCTTATCTTTTTCTCAACTTCCAAACCTCTTCTCACCCCTCGTAATCTACCTTGCAACAGTATGCTGCACTAGATGACATTAATCCCTTTAGCTAAAGAAACAACTGTGGTTTCGTTGCTGTGTTACTGACAGGCTATCTACCTGAATAAATGAAAGATTACAGTACAGAACACTCTATTAAGCTAAGGCTCCCCTCAGGTTACATCTTGGCCCTTTCCCCCCTCTTTTCCAAGTTCACAAACATTGCTGGACAAACAAGTAGTTCAAAGCAAAGAATACTGTGGCAAGGAAATGACTGCTTTGGTGCAAAATTCTGCAACATGACACAGCAATTATGGATATATGGCAGAAACTGGAAAACAAAATGGAAAGCATCTCTAAAGGGCCTTGATCTGCCTGCTTGGAAGACAAACTAAAGAAAGCGATTGCCTTTACATTACTTCCCCTATACTGCAATATTGTACAGGTATAAAAAGTCCAAGTATAGCTAAGACTTTCTTTAAAGCCTGTCTTTGGGGATATGGATTTAATTATGCTAAGCTTTCAACTCAAGCTCAAATGGTCTCTTCTACTTTCATAAGCAAGCCTGCAGATCAGAGTTGAACAATATAGTGTTAGGGACTGGGAATATATTTGTCTTTAGCATGTTTCTGGCATGCTGAATGCTAACACAATACAAACAACCACTTCAAGCACAGCAGTTGTTATAAGGTGTGAGCTGGCTCTGCAACATGCCCACTTATCTCAAATCCTGTGGAAACCTTTTTGTAGGTTCAGGCTCAGCAGGCCTAAAGCAGAGGGCATTGGGTAGATTCTCTGAGGTATTTTCCTCTACCCCAAAAAGTCATTAGCTGGTTGGCTCATCTTTTCTCAGTGTGAAAATTCACCACCATCTAAGTAAAAAAACTAGGTAGTTTGTGTCAATTTCCACATGTGCAGAAAGGAATGGGGGAAGAGAGGCAGCTCAAGGAAAAGAGACCTTGGGAAAGACATCAGGGCATGATGTCTGCAGCTTCTGCAAGTTAGGCATCCGCAGCTCACAGGAGCTAGGTGCCAGTTATGCAAACCTCACTTTTCTTAAGTCAACGGAGAGATCACGACCTAGCCCATAGGAAAGGTTTGGAGGTAAGTGACATTCCAATGTTCGACTGCCATCGTGTGTGCTGCCTAATTTTATTCAATTGGGAAAACTAACAGAAGTTGCATGGGACAAGCTCAGAGGTTACTTGCCTTTGTTTACACCAGTCATCAATTTCTAAAGAACAGTGTCTGCAAATATAAAGCAGCTGATGGAAACTGGTGCTCAAAACTTCTTAGCATGAGATGCTTAAATTTGCAATAAATTTGATAGTCCTAGATTTGTAGCTTGACTAGAAATGTTCTCAATTAAACCACTACCCCATAGTTTGCTGTTTTACAAAGACCTTTAGGAAAGTCTGATTAGTAAATGTGCTGACATTCATTTAAAACTCACTCCTATTATGGACTTCCTGGCATAGCCAGGTGAAATTTTTTTGGCCAAAGTGCTTTCACAGAAAAAAATGCAGTTTCTTATGGACAGAAATATATGTTCTGTTTTGACACTATAAAAATGAGACCTACAGAAACCTGTATTTTAAACAATGCTTCATATAGCAAATGACTTCACTTATTAAAAATAAAAAAAATTAGAAGTTTGAAAGTGAAATGTTTTGATAGCGTGACTTTTCATTCAACTTAAAATATTTTGACTTCAATCTGCCAAAATATTAAGTCAACCAACCCACTGTAACCCTGTTATTTGCACAGCTGTACTTCTAGCTCAGCTATTATATCCAATGTGCAGCTGCTCTTAGAAGCACCTGTAACTGTCCTAGAAATTAATGGGAATCATGGATGCTCAGCACACACTCATTTAAACCCTAAAATTGCAACTGCATTGTATTTATAGGTGCATTGTGTGAGGCATCCAGCTTCCAAAGGCAAATATAGGAATGCAATCATATTAAGGAGAATTAGTTTTTATTTATATCACAGTAGAGCCCAGGGGCTCCAACTAAGACTGGGCCTCTCAGATTAGACACTTTAAGATCATTCCTATACCAAAGATATAATTAGACAATACTAAGTAAACAGGGAACATGAATTAAGCGTTCTTAGATTCATTTTACCAGCTGAAGTAGTGAGGCATAGAGAGATTAAGTAATTCACCCAAGGCAGAGCCAAAAGTAAGCCCAGATCTTCAGGCCCCAAGTCCAGTTCCTGAATCACAAAACCATCTGACCTCTCTAGTAAGTAGACTTCAGCGCCATAAGCCTAATGCACACATGTAATGCTCTTCAAGGTTTGATCCTTAACATTCACTCCTTTAGTTCCTTGGTATCAAGTATATAAGAAACATAAGACAAAAATTGGCCATACCATTTTTGTTGCGATTTATGCACCGTTTCCCTCTCCACAGAAATCTACTTAATTCTAATACATTTTCACCCATGCTGCGTAATCTTTAAAAGTATGCATGCGGAAGGAAGGAGAAAGCAAAAGAGGAAGCTGTGTTTTAAATAAACGATATTATATCCTTCTGTTTCCATGCTGCAACAGGGATTAAAATAACACATTTAAATACCTTAATGTCTTTAACATGAAACACATTAATTTGATACTCTGCTTCCTTGAAATGCTTTGCTAATGCATGCAAGAGCCTCTGAGGAGCCTACCTTCCTCGAAGTGAACATAGATTTACCCTGTTCTACCACAGAGTACACTAGTATTTCAAAATGCAGTGCCTGACCTCATCTGCAGGGAAGGTAAAGATGAGAAACAGCCCAGAAAGAAAGCTGAAACTTATCAAAGTTACTGACATTTAAGAGCATTCTGCGGCCCCTAGGGAACCTAACAAGATGTACTAATTTATCACTAAAATTAACATACAAAAAGCCTGTCCAATGGTGCCACCAAAACATCATATTTAACAGCTTTTTAATTAGACATAGACCTCCCTTGACATATGCCCTGGAAGTCAAAGCAACTAATCATCTGACTACCAGATATCAAACAAGAGCTAGACTAATTATACCCAGCCGCACAAAGTCTGTTCTAAGACATTTTATCACAGGCTTACAATCAAAGAATGGCCCACACAGTGGACAAACTAACATTAGCAACTAAAAATAAATCCGGATGTTGAAGGAAAGTGTGCATTATTTCCAATTTATTTTATGAAGTAAATTGTATAATGATTGCATTTGATGACAAAATCCAACACTATTACGCATACATTTGGCCAACCTTGCTTCTTCAACTGAATTACCTGTTAATAAATGACATAATAATTGCAATAGCTGCAATTTTCTTTTAATGAAATAACTCCAGCCTCTCAAGTTTCCCAAGGAGAACAAGGCCAGATGGGTAACTTGAAAGGTACTACTTATGAAGTGGTTTTCTATTAATAACGATTCAGCAAGCTGGGGAGATGGAGTAACTCCACCTCTTCCTCTGTTCAGAAGTAGAGGGTGCTGAATGAACCTTTCTGCAATATCTTTTCTCTCTGACTTAAAATCTCCAGAACTGTGCTTCCAAACCACACCAGCTTCTTCTGTTTCTTCCTCCACAGGATTTCCAAGACCCTGCCTCTTCTCTGTGCCCACACAAACTTAAATACACATTTTGACTTCCATAACTTTTTTCTTTTCTTGGCAACTGTGACCTCACTCCTGCAAAAACCATCTTGTTCACAACTCACCCCATGGCAGTCTTCTAACTGAAACTAAAGCCCTCCACAAGCTAACATCAATTCACCATATCCAATAAACTTTTTGTTATCCAAAGTACATGTTTACGAAGCAGTTCAGTATCTCTACTATTTTAGAATCATCATCAATCTCTGTTTTTCATATATAATGAAATTGTTCAACAGCATCTTCCTTCTACATTTCTAGCACAAGATAACAAAAAATTCTTCTTAATATTCCACTCTCCCTAAGCATGCCCTGACAATTAAGAACCCAGAGGACTCTACCCAATTTTCTGAAGAGGACTCCATATAATCTAAATGCAGTAAATCTAGTTAAATTGTCACTCCAAGTAGCTTGGCAATCATAAGTAATTATTAAGGTGTAATTAATCAGTATGTGGTCATTTTCAAACGTTTAGTGAGATGGATTTTACATGACACAGAGACAGAAAAGATTATTTTTTAGCATACGTAATGAAGAAAAAAAGAATATGTTACAAAAATTCCAAGTACAAAGTACAAGTTGTACTCATTCTGGCTCATGATATTAGAATGTAATATTTAATGTACAATTTTTTACAATAAAATAACAAGCATTTGTTGTGTAAGTATTACATGAATTGAAGGAAGTAAACTAATCAGTCAAAGATTTTTGCTTTACATTCTTACATACACTTATTTCCAAAATACCAGACAATTCTGCAAAATGACTGGTTGATCATTTGTGCTCCGTTGAGCCAAGAAGAGCTGAAGACTATCCAATGTTTCATGAGCATCAGATGGCTTGACAGGTGCTATGGAGACCAGAGGTCAGTCCTTTTAAACCAATTATTAGGAGACAATTTCATTGTGATTTATTATGCATGTCTAACTGACTAATTATGCTTTACCAGATGATGAATTGGCCAAAGTATTTTACGTATAAATCAGTGGGAGACTGATGGGGATTCAGAGCACTGACTAGTAAGGCCATAGCGATAAGGTATCCCAATGACTAATTAACCAGAGTTCACTGTTTTCAACATTTTATTAAAAACAATACATTTTCTGTGAATTAGTGCTTTTTTTTTTTTTTTTTTTTTTTTTATATAACAACACTGGAACATTAATCACTTAAGTCTCCGTTGTCCCTGAATCTCTCCTCTTTATTTGTAGTTACCAATGGAGAGCTCCTCATAGATCTTGAGAAACATGTACTATTGTTTCTTGTTTACTCCATTCTGGGCTAAGCATAGCAGGGAGACATGACAAAGTGCAGAGGAACAAGTGTTTCCTGGTGAACAAGGAGTTAATTCCAAATCAGCATTCTGTTTTCTTTTCATACATGAAGAGTTTAAGCATCTTGTTTCTATTACCATGTGCCCCCCCTGAAAATGCTTTATGGCTTAAAGATGAAGCAAAGAAAACAATCTGAAAGGTTAATCATTTGGAAAGTGAGGAACAAGTGTAAATAGGGTGTTATCTTTGACCCTCTTGCTCATTTAACTATAATGGTCACTAGTGGCAATTGCTCTAATACATTTTCAAAGCAAAATGAATGTATCAAATTAATTTCTGAACTTACCTCACCTCAAACTGATTACAGCACTTGAATTTTCATGCTAACCAGCTTGAGTGGTTTGCAAACAATGAAGAAATCTGTCACTTCTAATGACTGAGCAAAAAAAAACGTTTACACTAATCTGCAAAATGCATGTTTGAATCTTTACAACCTTAAATACATGGAGTGTGCCTCCATAGTATTTATGTGAATGTGTGTTTTATATAGCAAAACTACTTATAGAATTTTGAAACACCTGGTAAAATTAAGTGACAACTGAAATTGTGGCCATTAATGAGCATTTTACCCCACTTACAGTGGTTCTGCCCTGGGGTGAAGCTGAAGGCTAAAATAGGACAGCCATGAGGAACACCCGCCTCTGGACTCTGAATAACAATACCATCACCATTTCTCCCAACCCCTCTGAGCTGACTTACCATATAGCAAGCAATCTGTTCTTCCACAGTAAAATCCTGTCCAGAAATACACAATAAATGTCACTACTTCAACACATTGGCTACTGTTTTAAGGAATATTTTTTCAGCTCAAACCATTCAACAAACATCAAAAAACAGCAGGAGAATGGCTGCTTTTAATGGAATTAATAGATTTAAGATTTTATTTGCCCAAAGCAACTGCCTTGCCATTTCAGCATCTAATTTCTCCATTCCATTTGAGCTCGACTACAATATAATACCATTCTCCTTTCTCCTTCTCTAGAAAATGGCCTTCTGCAATGTAAATTAAGAACATGTACATGACTGACTGACTTCCAATTACATTTTATTGTTAGACAAAGTAAATACTTTTATATTTGGTGCAAATGACATAACCCAGAAGGACAGAACCCAAACCAAAAACAAAACCTTATTAATCTTTTAAAAATCTGGGCGCTTGACCTCTTATTTCTTTTAGATAATGCCAGAATGAAAGGTCTGAACTTCTCAGGAGCTGCTATAACTCAGTGGATGTTTAGCATCCATTAAAAATTAGGTGCTGAAGTTCTGGACTAGGTCGCCTAAATTTCGCTGGTCATTTTTTATCATATTGGCCAAAAATTATTTAACTTGAGCTCAACTGGTGTGTAATGTAGCTCTTTTAATTAAAGGAAAAATTGTAAGACAGGATACATGTCCATTAAACTGTGTCCTCTAATTTGTAGACGTGATGCAAGTACCGTATTTACTTGAATCCAAGATAAGATATCTCCCCATTTAACACGGTGAAAAAAGTCCCTTGTTTTGGATTTGAGTACAAGACAGCAGGGGGGCAGTAACTCAGGGTTGAGGCAAGAGCCACAGCTGCTGTCTGCCCCCACCCCCGCCTCTTCCTCCCCTGGCCCCTGAAACCTTGGGTCTATGTTCCCATCCCGTCTCCCCACACCCCACCTGCCTTCCCAATATGACCCACACTTCCAGGCCCCAAGCCTGCAGCAAGGATAGGGCCTGCCACAGCAAGGGGAGGGGAGGGGAGGGGAGGTGGGGAAGAGACCCAAGCTTGGATAGAAGCAAGCATGAACGAGGGAGAGGCGGTGTCGGGGGTAGGAGGGACACAGGCACAGTGGGGGGCAAGTGGTAGAAGCAGACAGGCAGCAGGAGGCAAGGTGTTGGTGGGCAGGGGGCGGGGGTCATGCCTCAATGCTGTCTTCACCGCGTTGCCCCCTCTCGCACCACTGCTTTCTTCACTGCATACGTGTGTGGGGGGGGAGGGAGGGATTAATTTAAGATACATTTTCCATGTATACAATCTAATTAAAAGGGAGTGGGTTCTTAAATTCAGAGTCATCTTGGATTTGTGTAAATACCATGGTAAGGAAGGGATGAGGAAAGAAGCACAAAGGGTCTAGTAACATGGTCACACAGCTGCTCAGCTTAAATATGAAAACGTTTTGAACCATTAAAACTAAGTTGTTTGGGGCCATGTTTGTTATGAATAATTATTATTCTTCCTGAAAATCATCAGTGCCATCTTGAAACCAGAAAGCTTCCACAGCAGCCTGTCTGCTGCGGCTCAGCTGCTGACACTAGAGTTTCAGTGGACTGCATGAATGCTTATCTGTCTTGACCAGTCCAGCATGTTCCAACATTGAGTGGCTGGACTGAAAAATGATACCCTGCCTAGTTGGTGGACATGCCAATACTCCTGAAGTACTGTTAAATGCAATGTCTTGTGGAACTTGTTTCCTGTACATTGTGAGGTACCATCAT